GCCCAGAGAATCTTTCAATAATGAAAGTCGAGGCTTGAATTTTTTCTTTAGTTCCCCCAGCTTGAGAAATGCTGACCGTGTTCTTCCTTTTTGGTTTTCTAACTCCAAATCTTTGCATATTTTATTATAGTATTTGGTTTTATCTTCTCGAGCTGATCTTTGAAATTTTCTGTTCATCTCTTGGACCTCTTCAAGAGCTGAACAATAAATGGTTCTGGGAAAATTGGAATTCCACATGCAGAAAAAATGAAACAGGATCCATGCCTCATAGCATACACAAAAACAAAAAAAAATGGATTAAGGGAATAAGTATACAAACTGAAACCGTACAATTCTTAGAAAAACAAGCAGGAGCAACACTGTAACCCTAGCTTTTAACAGTGGGTTATTTAATAAACAACAAAACCACATACAGCAAAAGACAAAATAGATGAGATCTCATAAAACTTAAGAATATTTGTTCATTAAAAGACTACCAAAAAAGTGAAGACAAGCTACTGACTTGGAGAATATCTTTAGAAACTATATATCTGACAAAAATCTAATAAGCAAAATACATGTAAAATTTTAACAACTAAAAAACAAAAAGCTCAATTATAAAACAGACAAAGGACTTAAGTAGACATTTTACCAGAGTATATTCAAATGGCTGCCTGCAGTACAGTGAATTATTTAATATGTCTCTCTAGCCATAATCTTTGTTCCTCCCAACAAACAACTTTTTCCTGATGTGTCTGGTAAGAGAAGGTAAGGAAGATGTTGATAGGAATATATAATTAGCTGTGAATGACTGGTAACTAATTGTGATTGGTCAAATTTGCCATTCTGTTGGGTATAAAATGAGTATCTCAGAAGCAGGAATTGGGATCTCACATCAAGGAGGAAAAACCAGGAGTGCAGTGTGATCTTTGGACCTTGAAATTGGCCCAGGAGACTGAGTGTGACACCAGAGAAGCAACAGAGAAATGAGAGAGGAGCAGCAGCAGCACCATCAAGAGCCACAGTATGAGGCAGAGGAGTGGGCTTCCTGGCCCATGGAGCAAGTAAAGCCAAGTGCCTTTGGGCAAGAGTCTTGTTTGTGGAGTGGGGTGCCCCCAGGCACTTAATTGAGGGCATTAGGTTTACCTTACCCATGGAGCTGGAGCCAAGTGCCTTCAGACTAAGGCTTATAGCAAATGGTGTGCCCTTTGGGCATTGATCAGCAACTCTACAAGAGCCTGTACCACTGCCCAAGCAGGACGGAGGTCAGGCTACAGGGCCTACAACCAGAGAGAGGCCTGCCTGTGGACAAGGCTGAGAAGAGACTGTCCGCACTGTAAGAACTGTGCCTTGAGCATTTCTGACCCTGCATTATAACCTGTGAACTTCCCTAATGAATCCCTTAATTGTGACTATGGTCTGTGAGTTCTGTGGCCTTTACAAACCCAGCTACTGAGAAGGAGAGTGCTGTGGAAGAGACAGCTGGTGTCAGAAGAGGCAGAGAAGGTTGAAGGGTTGAGACACGTCTGACTTCAACCTCATGGGACTCATCCCATGACAGTGATTCTCTTCCCCGCTTTCAAAGCTAGAGGAGGTCACACTTAGCCCCTATGCCCCTTTTACACCACCAAACAAATGTAAAGTTGCTCAGTGTCATTAGCCATCAGAGATGCAAATTAAGACCACAGTGAGATACCATTTCATTCCCACTAAGGTGGCCATGGCCACGATTAAAACAAAACACACAGAAATAGTAAATGTTGATGAGGATGTGGGAAATCAGAACTCTTATCCACTGCTGGTGAGAATGCAAAATGGTACAGGCATTGTGGTAAACAGTGTAGTGGTTTCTCAAAAAAATAAGAATAAAACTACCATACGACCCAGCAATTCCATTCCTATGTGTGATACCCCAAAAGCAAGAAAGCTTGTACACAAATGTTCAATGTAGCACTATTCATAATAGCAAAAGGTGGAAACAGCTAAATGACTATCCACAGATGAATAGATAAGCAAAACATGGTGCATACATACAATGGAATACTACTCAGTCAGCAAGAGAAATAGTCTTGATACAATATGGATGTGACTTCAAGACATCATGCTGTGTGAAATTAAGCCAGTCACAGAAGCACAAATACTGTGTGATCGACTTATATAAAAAGACTGACTTCAATTATATCAAAAAACTGTTAACCATATAAAGACTTTGTGGTTAACAGTCTAGTGCTTTTCCTAGAGTGCCACACCAGGATCCTTCAACTCATAGTGACCCTGTAAAGGGTTTCCAAGGAGCAGCCAGTGGGTTTGATCAGCAGGAGGTTGGGGGTAAAGAGGCATTAACAGTGGTGGAAAAATCACATTCCTTAAGGGTAGGGTTGCGCAGCCAATTACTGTAATTGCTGTTGTCTGTAAAAAGTTGAATTGGAAAAAAGTAGTTTCATTTTACTGAAATAAAAGACAAACTTAGTTGAAAGGTAAAAAAATAAATAAAATGTCATATTGCATTGGGATAAGCTGAAGTAAAACTTCTCCAGTGTCAAAAAGCACAGAAATCATTTTAATGACCAAGGTGGGCCTAACCCAAGCTGCAATATTTTCAATCACTTCATATGCATGTGAAATCGCCTCATGTTTATAGACTCAATAAAACAAACACACTGCCACTGATTGATTCTGAGTCATAACAACTCTGTATAGGGTTTCTGAGACTATAACTCTTTACCAGGGCAGGCAGCCTCATCTTTCTCCTGCAGTGACTGGAGGGTTTAGTGCCGTTGAGTCAATTCCAATCTATAGCAACCCTGTGTAGGGTTTCCAAGGAGCAGCTGGTGAGCTTGAACCACCGACCTTGTAGTTCAAATGGTTTTGCAGTGTGGCACATTAACCCACAGCGCCATATAGACCATGTGAAATACTGCCAACCATTCTCTTGTGCAGAATAGAAATCATTTCCTGTTATTAAAGATGGGAAGAATGACAATTGGGTAGGCAACAGTCTCTGCTTTAGTAAGCAGTACACAATGTTCATTGCCAACATTTTGACTGTGGTATTACAAATGACTTTGCCATGAGACTCAATAAAATGGCTAAATAACGTTGAACTGTCCATCCTAGGACAAAGGTAAATGACTAACGTATTTAGCCATTTTATAGAATCTCATGGCAAAGTCATTTGTAATACTGTAGTCAAAATGTTGCCACAGTGTTTGTAAACCTTGATAATGGAAAGGAAGCCACTTCATAATTGCATGGTATTACTGTACAGGGTCGCTATGAATCAGAACCAACTCCATGGCACATCACCACCACCACTATCACTGGCACGTATAACAAGCTGGGCAGCACACCAGAAGCCAGATCTTTGATCATCATGGAGACTGACTCCTTTTTGTGGACTCTGATACTGTACACCATCACCCTGTATATCTTGCCTTAAATTCCAGGTTCCTGTTTGTTAACAGAATAAAAGGAGAGTACCACATTAATGCTCTATCCTTTACCCAGGGGATGAAAGATTAGGATGCTAAGATGACATAAGAAATTAATATACCTTTTGGGTTTTATTGTTTTGTTTTAAGACTTATACATCAGGAACCTGTCCTTGTTTTGGTGTTCACAGGCTTTCACCTGCTTTGTTTTATTAATCAGGAATCCTCAAGACAGATGTGAGGAAGCCAGTCTGTGATTCTATTGTGAAGATAACAGAACTGGATAGAACAGTCTGTATTCAATTGTGAAGATAATAGAAACTAATAGAATAGTCTGTATTTTGGTCTCATGGATACTGGTTTTGAGGGCAAGATGGACACCATATTTAATAGGATTTGGTGGCTTGATTTTCAATTCCATTCTTATGATTGCTGCTTTGGTACTGAAGATGAACTGTCTGGAGTAAACTTTGGCTTTTTGGTATTCTTTGAGATTAGGCCTAGACTCATTACCTGGATCCTTGAGACTGCCCTCTTGTACCTGGGACCCAGATGCCATGTTATAACTGTATGAATCTTTGTCTCCTCCACAACTACAAGTGAATATATGATAAGAAAAGGAAAAGTAATGTGCTCAAGGTGTTAGTGAAATGGCAGACCCAATCCACATCCCCAATAGCCAAGCTACAGAATTTTAGCCATCAATTTAATTAAAACCAAGATAAAAATAACTGCTATCCATGAAGCAAGAATAGTGGGGTGATGGGTTAGTCTACCTGAGCCCAAGTCAGGTTAGAGGGTCAGAAAACCCAAAGTTCAGGGAAACCAAGTGTCCTGAGAACTGAAGAGGAAAACAAAAGCAAAAAACCAAACTTAGAGCCCCAGAAAGCTCCAAGAGGAATTGTTGTTAAGTGCCATTGAGTCGATTCCGACCCATAGCGACCCTGTATAGGGTTTCCAAGGAGCAGCAGGTGAGCTAGAACCGCCAACCTTGCAGTTCAAACCGGCTTTGCAGTCCGGCGCATTAACTCACTGTGCCACACCAGGAATAGATATAGCTAAAATGCAACTATGTTGTTTTTAAGTGTCATAGTGACCCTGTAAAGGGTTTCCAAGGAGCAGCCAGTAGGTTTGAACTGCCAACCTTGTGGTTCATAATCCAGTGCTGATCCTACAGTGCCAAATAGCAAAGGCATTTAGAGACTACATAGATATTAACTTAAAGTTTATTTCAGAAGTTTCTAGTTCCAGAAAGTATCATTGGTTTGGTACTCAAATTCTTATGACTGGTGGTGGTGGTGGTTATGTGTCGTCGAATCTGTTCCAACTCATAACCACCCTGTATAGAGCTTCTGAATCTGTGTATTTTTACAGGAGCAGAAAGCCTCTTGTTAGATCATCCATGAAACATGTAATTAGTGTCAATGACGTGCCAGGCCACACTCTGAGGACATGGCAGTGCACAGATATGAAACAGTCCCTGCTCCCATGAGAGCTTCAAAAAGTTCATGGAAAAATTCCATTATCTTTTCATTACATTTTTTAGTGAACTTTTTGAAGCAACAACAACAAAAACCCTTCACTGCCATTGAATTGATTCCAACTCATAGCAACCTTATACAGGGTTACTGAGACTGTATATCTTTCTGGGATTGGGTATTTTGAACAATTCTGTAAGCTAAGCGAACATAGAGGCTGTCCCTAGTTGTTGGATACTTGGCTTCTGAGCAATTAGGATAAGTGTGTAGTAATCCAAGAGTGTGAGAGTCTGATTGGAGAGTGGGCTTAATCAGCTGCTGATGAAAGGGAAGGGCTGGCTTCAGAACTAGGTGGACAGCATTTAAAGACAAGTCCCCTTAAAATTCTCAGAAAGCAATTTGACCATTTTGGTCAGAAGTCTTAGCTAAAATTTGAGGCAACTCTGGGGAAGTCTATGACATTGTCTGTTAAAATTATTTATTGAAATGGTTTGAAAATGAGCTATATTTAGAAGGTGCTTGTTATAGACTAAATTGTACTCCCACTCTCCACCCCCTAATAGAATCCTGGTGTGGCACTGTGGGTTAATGCGCTGGACTGCAAGGCTGGTTTGAACTGCAAGAAACCGTATACAAGGTTGCTATGAGTTGGAAGCAACTCAAAGACACTTAACAACAACAACCCCCCAAATATGTATGGTACATCCTCAACTATATGCCTGTGATTAAAATCCGACCTGGGAAATGGGGCTCTCTTTGTTATGTTAATGAGATAGGATTAGTGTAGGGTGTGCCTTGAGTCAATCTCTTACAAAATATTAAAGAAACAGTTTAAGGTATGAGGGACAATAGATGCCAAGACACACAGAGCTCTCCAATGAGCCAGGAAGCAAAAGTTAACGAGCCTACAGAGAGCTTTCCCCTTGAACTGGCACCCTGAGTGTAGACTGCTAGCCTCCTCAACTGTGAAAACTTAACTTTCTGTTTGTTAAAGACATCCACTTGTGGTATTCTGTTACAACAACAGTAAGCAACTAAAACTGTGCTCAAAATAAATCTTCATTATCTTACACAAATCTCCATTAAGTCTCTGTGGGGTCACTTATTTGGCTGAGTTTTGCTATTCCCAAGGCTGACTGGCATGACGTCGCTGATGTAGGACAATAGATGGCTTGCAACTGAAAGCTTTTCCGCACAGACTGCATTTAAAGGGCTTTTCTCCAGTGTGAACTCTCTGGTGTAGAATAAGCAGTCTCTTTTGGATAAAGCCTTTTTCACATTCAGTGCATTTGTAAGGCTTTTCTCTGTGAATCTTCTGATGCTGTGTAAGGGATGAGCGATCAAAAAAAACTTTTCCACAATCATCGCATTCAAAAGAACTCTCTCCAGTGTGCGCTCTCCAGTGGCGGATGAGGGAGGAGCGGTTTGACAGAGCTTTCCCACACTCCTTGCACTGATAGGGCCTCTCTCCAATGTGAGTAAGTTTATGGCGGCCAAGAACAGCTTTCTCCCTAAACGACTTCCCACATTCTGTACACTCAAAAGGTCTTTCTCCAGTATGAATTCTCTGATGTCGAGCTAAAGAAAAGCGGATAGAGAAAGCCTTACCACATTCATTACATTTAAAAGGCTTTTCTTCATCATGAGCTTGCTGATGTTCTGTTGGGGTTAACTGGTCATAGGCAGTCTTCCTATACTCATTGCATTTAGAGGGGCTCTCCTCAGTGTGGGATATCAGATGTTTATTAAGACTGCTCCTGTGACCGCAGGCTTCTTCTCCACCTTTACGTCCACAGGGCTTCTCTTCAGTGTGAGTCCTCCGATGGTGGAAGAGGGATAAGTGGTTAGGAAATGTCTTCCCACAGAGGCTACATTCAGAGTTTCTCTCCACACTGTCAGTTTTCTTGGGAGAAGTAGATGTTGGCCATAAGTCCTTCTCCTTGGGAGAGAACTTCTTCATCCAAGTTTCCCCAGGATTTTCTTTCTTAATCTCTAACCTGTCCTTGGGTTTATCAGTGTCAAGTGCAGGACTCAAGAGACCATTTTTTCTGATATTTCCCATAAGAGTATTTTGTGGCTTTGCATTTTTAGATACTTTCTGCCTTTGAGTTGAGTCCTGACCGTTGGGTCTAGCATTTAGACCTAAAACAAAGAGAAAACACAGATATAACTGGCTTTTAGTGCTGGTGAAAAATTAAACAATACATATGGTAAAAAAAGGATATAAATATAAAATATATTCATTGATAGCTCCCCAAAACAAAAACAACAGGGAGAAGTGGAAAAATGGATGAGAAAAAGGACTAGAAATTACAAATAGAAGATGGGCAAAAAGAAACTTCAATTATTCATCTATCAGATATTTACTAACTGCCCACTTAGTACCAGACACAGCCAAAGTCTCTCGAACTACAATGAACAAGACAGACATGATCCCTGCCCATACAATATTTATAATCTACTGAGCATGACAAAGAATAAATGAACAAAACAAAACAGATGGTGATAGCATATTGAAGGAAATATTGAATGGATGTTGGAATGGGGAACTTCTTTAGAAGGATCCTCAGAAACGGTCTCTGGGAGGTGACATTTAAGCTGGTATCAGAGAATAAGCTGACCATGTAAACAGCCACCACAAGATCATTCCACAGAGAGGCAGGTATAGACAAATAGGATGTGCAGAACTAACGAGAGCAGTTTGTTATGTGTCACTGTGCATGAACAGCAGAGAATAAGCAGGGGGAGAGGCTAGCATTGGAGAAAGTGAGCTGTCAATGTGTACTGAGTATTGATGAAAAGAAAGAGGAGGGAGACAGGATAAGTAGGCAAGATGAGGAAGTGTTATCAGAGCTGAATTAATGATAAATCTCAACCCTCTCATTCCCTCCCCTACCCACCCCAAAATCCAGGAAGGGCCCTGCTTTGCACAGCTCCACTTATTCATCTGTGTAACAAATATCAGAGTGTGTGCTATTATTACCAGGTACTGTTCTAAGCATTGGGGATATAGTCGTAAATAAGCTCTGGTAGTGTAGTGGTTACGAATCGGGCTGCAAACCTGAAGGTCAGCAGTTCGAAACTACCAGCAGTTCCGCGGGAGAAAGATGAGGCTTTCTACTCCCGTAAAGATTTACACCCTCGGAAACCTTGTACAGGGTCGCTATGGGTCAGAACCGACTCGACAGCACTTAACAACAACAACAGCAACATAAAACAAAACATTTCTACTGGTGTTTAAGTTTTAATTAGGTGGTGGTATGGTTGTGTGCCACCAAGTCAGTTCTGACATAGCAACTCTGTATAGTATTTCCAATGAGTGGCTGGTGAGTTTGAACTGCCGACCTTATGGTTCAAATCGACCTTGCAGTCTAGTGCTTATCCTACAGGGCCACACCAGGACTCCAATTAGGGGGCAGACATACAATAAACAAAATGAATAAGTAAAAACAGCATGTTGGGAAGCTAGAGCTGGGAAAAGCAGGCGGTAGTGTAGAGGCTGGGTTGGAGAGGAAGGAAAGGGATGGAGAGTTCAGTTTTAAATTCCAGGGTCAGGGAGGGCTGACTAAAAAGGTGAGCTTTTAAAACAAAGACTTGAAGAAAGATATTCATGTAACTATCTGGGGAATGAGTACTCCAAGCAAAGGCCCAAGATGGTAACGGCCATCTCCACAGATACATGAGACCCCAAGAGGGCTGTCTGGTGAAGGCCCATCTGTCCACTTCACAATTACCTAGAGAAGTACCTTCTGGACCTTCTTTCTCTTCAGCTTCCTGAAAATCAAGCATCCATGGTTCTTCACCTCTTTCCAACTGGAAAATCACATCAGGGTTAGGAACTAGAAGTCCTAGTTATAAAGAATAAAATAAAGAATGGCTATTTGGGATGGAAATTCATAGCCATCACAAGGTTAATACCAGTTCCTTACTCATTAGGGAGTATATGGGGCTATCCAGAAAGCATATGTTTCATTTCCAGAATTATGCATGGAAGTCAGGCTTGATTTTTTTAGAAAATCAAAGTCATTCTACTTGAAGTAGTTCACTTATCCCTGGGAATCTCCCCCAAATGTTCTTGTATATTGAGGGCAAGTTCTTGGTTTAAAGGTGCAAACTACAGAGAAAGTTCTGCACTCAGGGACTATAGAGAAAGTTCTCCACAAAGACTCCTCACTTTCTTCTGTAGTCTTTTAAATATAAATAATACTTTTGTAGTCTGCAATTTTACTTCTGTGTAATTGTATTGAATTTGATGAAACTATAAATCAAACTAGATGAGTTTTACAGATATAATTTAATTTCTGTACAGATGATATGAAACACTTAAATCTGAAAGCATCAATTAACAATTTTATAGAAATCCTTAATATATTATGAGGCCTTTAGTTTATAAAACTTTAAACTAGTGACATTTATAAAGCCTTAATTTTCTACACTTAATTTTTAAGTGCCTTAGGAAATATTTAAGTATTTAAGGCATCCTAGTGGGGAGTTGTGGTGTGACACTGTGGGTTAATGCACTGAACTGCAAAGTCATTTGAACCACAAGGTAGAAGCTTCAAGCTCACCAGCCAATCCTCAGAAACCCTATACAGAGTCACTAAAGGTCAGAACTGACTCAACGGCACTTAACAACAACAATAACAAGTGGGGCAGTGGTTAAAGTACTCAGCTGTTAACCAAAATGTCAGGGGTTTGAATCCACCAGTCTTCTGCTAGAAAAAGATGGGGCAGTCTGCTTCTGTAAAGATTTACAACTCTGTCCTATCGGGTCACTAGGAGTTAGAATTGACTTAACAGCCATGTGTATGAAATATTTAAGACCTGAAAAAGGTACATGTATTACATTAAAAAACTTTGAAACCATTAATCAACACATAAGATGGAAGCTCCTCTCTGACTCCCTCTTACTTCACCCACAAAGGTAGCCATTATACTAAATTTGGTGTTGATTACTCTCATGCTTTTTAAAATGTGATTCTTCATTTTCTTTGAAGTTTTTACACTATAGTAGATGCTTGAAAAATGCGGGGTTAGGAGCACCAACGCTCTGAGCAGTTAAAAATCTGCACATAACTTCTGACACTCCAAAAACCTAACCACAAATGTTACTGTTGTTGTTAACTGCTGTAGAGACAATGCTGACTGGTAGCAATCTTATATATGGTTTTCAAAGAGCAGCTGGTGGGTTTGAACTGCCAACCTGAGCTTCACAGTCCAGTGCTGATCCTATTTCACCAATCCAGGAGTCCCTTAACAACTAAAGTTGTTGTTGCTGTTAAGTGCTGTCAAGTCAGTTATGACTCATAGCAACCCGGTGTAGGAATTCTGAGGAGAGCTGGTGAGTTTGAGCTGCCAACTTTGTGGTTCCAACCGACTTTGCAGTCCAGTGCTTATTCTACAGCACCACACTAGGACTCCTAACGCCTAACCTTATTAAGTGTCATAGAGTCAGTCATAGTGACCCTGTATAGGGTTTCCAAGGAGTAGCTGGTGGGTTTGAACCACCCACCATGTGGTTAGCAGTCAAGTGTTTATCCTAGAACACTGCACCAGGAATAGCCTGTTGCCAATTGGAAGCCTTATTTTTGATGTTGTATTAGCAGAGGAGCCCTGTGGTGTTACGGAATAAGCATTGGGCTGCTAACCACAAAGCTGGTGGCTCAAACCCACCAGCTACTCTGTAGGAGAAAGATGAGGCTGTTTGCGCATGTAAAGATTTACAGTCTTGGAAACACTACATAGAGTCGCTATGTAGGATTGTCTTGATAGCAGTAGTTGGGGATTTTTTTGGTTTTATTGTTGTTGTTAGGTGCCATTGAGTTTCTTCTGACTCACAACAACCCTATGCACAACAGAATGAAATACTACCCTATCCAGCACCAGCTTCACACTCATTGTTACGCTTGAGCCCACTGCTGCTACCACTGTGCCAGTCCATCTCATTGGGGATCTTCCTCTTTTTCGCTGACCCTCTACTTTACCAAGTATAATGTTCTTCACCAGGGACTGGTCCCTCCTGATAATATGTCCAAAGTATGAGAGACGAAGTCTCACCATCTTGACTTCTAAGGAGCATTCTGGCTATACTTCTCCCAGCAAAGATTTGTTTGTTCTTCTAGCAGTCCATGGTACTTTTAACAATCTTCTGCAATACCATAACTCAAATGCATCAATCCTTCTATGGTCTTCCTTACTTTCACATACATATGAGGCTACTAAAAATACCATGACTGGGTCAGGCGTACTTTACTCCTTAAACTGACATCTTAGCTCTTGAATACTTTAAAGAGGTCTTGTGCAGCATATTTGCCTAATGCATATATTATTTGATTTCATGACTGCTGCTTCCATGAGTGTTGACTGTGGATCCTAGCAAAATGAAGTTTTTGACAACTTCAGTTTTTTTCTCCATTTATCTTGATATTGTTTCTTGGTCCAGTTGTGAGGATTTTTGTTTTCTTTGCATTGAGGTGCAGTCTATGCTGAAGGCTGTGGTCTTTGATCTTCATCTGTAAGTATTTTAAGTCATCTTCACTTTCAGCAAGCAAGGTTGTATCATCTGCATATCACAGGTTGTTAATGAGTCTTCCAACTCTGATGCCATGATGTTCATCATATGATCCAGCTTCTTAGATTATGTGCTTAGCATACAGATTGAATAAGTATGGTAAAAGAATACAACCCTGGCACACACCTTCCTTGATTTTAAACCATTCAGTGTCTCCTTGTTCTGTTCAAACTACTACCATTTGGTCTATGTACAGGTTTCTCACAAGCACAATTAAGTGTTCTGGGATACCCATTCTTCACAATGCTATCTATATCTTGTCATGATCCACACAGTCAAAGGCCTTTGCATAGTCAATAAAGTACAAGTAAGCGGTTTGAACTGCAAGGTCAGCTGTTCAGGCTTCCCAGCTGCTCCTTAGAAACACACTATACAGAGTCACTATGGGTCGGAACCGACTCGAAGAATAACAACAACAAAAGCATCTTTCTGTTATTCTCTCCATTCTGCCATCAGCAATATTGTTGGTTCCACATTCTCATCTGAATCTAGGTTGAACCTCTGGTACTTCCCTGCCAGTGACTGTTGCAGCTGTGTTTTTGAAATATCATTAAAAAATTTACTTGCATATAACGTAAATGATATTGTCTGATGATTTCCACATTCCATTGGATGACTTCTCTTTGGAATGGACACAGATATGGGTTTCTTCCAATCATAGATGAGTAACATAGATGAGTGAGTGCCTCCAGTGTCACATCAGTTTGTTGAAAGGTTTCAACTTGTGTTCCATCAGTTCCCAGATCCTTGTTCTTTGCCAGTGCCTTCAGTGCACCTTGGACTTCTTCCTTCAGTACTACTGGCTCTTGATAATATGTCAACTTTTGAAATGGTTGAACACCAACAATTGCTTTTTGGTACCATGACTCTGTATATTCCTTCCATCTTACATTTTTCATTCTTGGCATAGCAAATTATCATATCAAAATGGCCAAACCCAGTACATTTAAGCTCATTAGTGCCTAGAATATTAATCTGTATGCGTTCCACTTCATTTTTACAATGTCCAATTTCCCTAGATTCATACTTTACACACTCCTCACTTTGAGTTGTATCCCATCAGCATATGAAGGCCAGAAAGCTTTTACTTCATTTAGATCATCACAGTCAATCGACTTTGAGGAGGCAGCTCCTCCCCAGTCGTATTTTGAGTACCTTCCAACCTGAGGGGCACAATATCTGAGAATATTCTGGTGCTATTTATAATGTTTCAGTATCAATATTCTGATGCTGACAGCGTCCCACTACTATTGATAAGGCTTTCAGAGGCGAAACATTCCGAAGTAGTCAGCCTCTCTTTCTTCTTAGTTTGTCTTGGTCTGAACCCTGTCCACCATAGTGACCCTGCTGGTATTTAAAATACCAGTGGTGTAGCTTCTAGCAACACACAAGCCACCACAAACGAATGGTTTTACAGGTATTATATACTGCACCAGGAGTCCTGGTGTGGTGCTGTGGGCTAATGCATCAGACTGCAGTCATTTGAACTACAAGATCTGTGGTTCAAGCTCACCAGCTGCTCCTTGGAAACCCTATACAGGGTCGCTATGGGTCGGACTGGACTTGACAGCACTTAACAACAATAACAACAATATACTGCACTTGCATAAAAGCTACATGCTTACAAGGTAAAAAGGTATTTCACAAAAAGAACAAGATTTTCATACCTGCTGGCATAGCTGTTGTGACAGACTCATGAATTTCCTTTTGTTTTTTTTAAAATAATGGTCCTTATGGTCGGTCTTTCTTCTTTCATTTAAAAACCATTGGACCACTTATTTTCCTAGAATAATCTGCACAGTCTCTCTGTACTTTACCTCCCTTTCATTGGTGTCTTTTGACTAAACATTGACTCTGGATTTGGAATATGTAGGGACCCATCCTTTGCCTCTTTTTTAAGCACAAAGATTTCATTACTACGTCTCTAAAGAAAACCCAAAACCAAACCCATTGTCACCAAGTCAATTCTGATTCACAATGACCCTGTAAGGCCAGGGACCTATCATTTGGTCTGGCCCTGCCAAAGCAACTGCAGTTCCAGCCATCACATTGTTGTTGTTATTAAGTGCCATTGAGTCGGTTCTGACCCACAGCGACCCTGCATAGGGTTTCCAAGGAGTGACTGGTGAACTTGAACTGCTGACCTTGCAGTTCAAACGGTTTTGCAGTCTGGAGCATTAACCCAAAGCGCCACACCAGAACTCCCAGCCATCACATTAGGGGTAAATTAATTAAATGTTTGATCAAATATTGTTGTTGTGATGTATTGTTGAGTTGGTTCCGACCCATAATGTATAGAGTTTTCAAGGAGCAGCTGGTGAGCTCGAACTGCCGACTTTGTGGTTCAAGCTGACTTTGCAGTCCAGCGTATTAACCCACAGCACCACATATAGTAGACTAATTTTTAAGTTGATAATTTTGTGTGGCCCGTGAATGATACTATAAATTTTAGCAGAAAAAAGTTCTCCACCCTACTATGTTGTTGTTGTTAAGTGCTGTTGAGTCAATTCCGACCCATAGCGACCCTGTACAGGGTTTCTGAGGCTGTAAATCTTTATGGGAGCAGAAATCCTCATCTTTCTCCTGCGGAACTGCTGGTAGTTTTGAACTGCTGACCTTGAGATTAGCAGCCCAATTCATAACCATTACGCTACCAGAGCTCCTTCCACCCTACTATAGGCAAATACATCTTCAAAGCATAAATAACAAAAAGCAAATAAACCCACAAATCACTCTTTTGTCCTTTCTGGGGATCTAGCCAAAGATGGATAATTCTGTCTAACTAAGAAAGTTCAAATTCTTTATAACAAGAAAAGAAAGGCAGATTCTGAGTCACTGAGGGAAATAATGCTTACCCAAAGACACGAAATCCCTGTAATTCTCCAACATCACCTCCCTATATAGGGCTTTTTGAGTAAAAACCAGTTGATTCCATTCATCCGCTGAAAATGTCACAGCCACATCCTTAAACTTCAGTGACTTCTGAAAAGACAAACACGTTCTTGTTCATCTCTGTTCCTTCTCTTCTGCTTCACTGGGGAGGAGTAAAGACATCAGCACTGGCAAACACATGGAATGGGAAGAGACATGGTTTTTATGATGTTCAGTAGTGGACACTGGACGTTTTAGGGACACGGCACAGGTTTGTGACCTAAGGCATGAAACTCTTGCTCATGGCCTCAAGCCCACAGCTGAGCCTGCTATTTGTTGTTAAGTGCCACTGAGTCGGATCCCATTCATAGTGACCCTGTCTAGGGTTTCCAAGGAGCAGCTGGTGGCAGTTTGAACTGCCAATCGTATGGTTCAAACAGACCTTGTGATCCAATGCATTATCCTGCAGGGCCTCACTAGGACTCTGAGCCTCCTCTTGAGGCAGAGTAATAGATGACTTCTATTACTCAGCCTCTATGTTTCAACTGTAAACAAAATAACTGATATTTAAAGTCCCTTCCAGTTCTGACAATGTGTTTATGAGCCCTTAGTGTAACCAAATGGTACTCAAGTCAAAGTCATACCCATGATGAGGGTACGGGTAATAGAGGGCACTCTGAGGCAGAGGAACCAACACTGGAAAGAGATCAAAGATGTGCTACCTTTTGAAAAGGAAGATCACATCTGCCCAGAGTAGAAGATTTGGAATTTTTATACTCTGATGAAGAACCATTCAAAACGAAGATCCCTACAGGTGTGCTGTATAGTGAAAAAGGAGAGAATCTGGAACCAGAAAGGGTGAGCGTTCTGTAGAATCCATCTTCTCCAGGAGTGGCTCCGGCCTCCAACATATTTACTCCTTGGTTTATAAGGAAGCTCCAGACTGGAGAAAACCCAACTCACCTGCCATTTGATTATTAGGGGCTCAGCTGCCATTTCTCCTCTTCTGTGTTCTCTTAGAAAAGGGCCCAGTCCAGAAAAGGCAAAGCTAGGGAAGGAAACATGAAAGAGACCAATGCTATTTTGAAGGTGTTGGACCCCAGCAAAAACTCCACAAATCTATTAGGTGTGAAACAGCCCTTGTTCCCAAACCTTACTGAAAGCACAGCAAGCTCCCCTTCCCAGGGGTGGGTAATGTGGATATTGCTATAATTTTGTTCCCAAGTTAGTAGAACATGGGAACAAAACTGTGTTCCCAAGTCAGAAAATTAATAAAATCAAATAATTTACACCGAAACTAACCATTTTTACATTGCAATCAGCATTGTACTCTATACTAATTGTTGTTGTTGTTGTTATGTGTCGTGGAGTCGGTTCCGACTCATAGTGACCCTGTACAGGGTTTGCGAGGTTGTAAATCTTTACAGGAGCAGAAAGCCTCATCTTTCTCCCACGGAACAGCTAGTAGTTTCGAACTGCTGACCTTGCAGTTCATAACCACTACACTACCAGAGCTCCTTAATTAGATATAAACAAATAAATGGCTCTAATTGATTTGAATTTTATATTCAGTCTGAGTAGGAGAATGCTTACATTAATAATTTTCTTAAAAGCGATAACGTAAAGTCTATAAGATCAATCATAATAAAGCATGTGTACCGGGGTCATAGGGACAGGCATGGAGTGGCTGGTTTACAAGCTTTCACGAGTGTGCTTAGTTTCAGAATTGAGGGGCAGTTAGGTAGAATCCTCACTGAATAGTTTTCCTCTTTTCTGGTGGATCTGGTGAAAGAGAGTAGGGATGATGCTGATAGGATTTTATGACTCAATTGTGAGTGATTATTAGCAGGATTAATTGCCATTATCAAAACTGAAATTGTACAAGATGTGTAACTAAAAGGAAGAGTAGTTAATTTTTCATTTCAGGAAAAGATGATCCGGGACCATCAAGAAGGAAGAGCATGAGTGGAGCATGAAATCCCTGGACCTAGTAAAGCGGCGATAGCAAAGATGGTGGCAGAGGCAGTGGCATGGAGAAACAGAGCAGCTGTAGGCTCTAGGTCCATGAACTGAGCAAGGCTGTGTGTCTGCAGGCAAGAGGGTAGATAGCAGAATGTGCCCTTTGTACATTTAAATGAATGTATTTTTTTGTTTTGCATGTGTGCATCAAACATCTTTGCTTTGTTCATTTGTGAAATATAAGATATAAATGGGAAGCCACAGGGAGGAAGTAGGATAACTGTTGTTGCATGGAGGGAAATGTAATCATTGAGATGAAACAAAGTGTATGATTTGTTGAATGTAAAGCTGGTGATCTTGTCTATAAATCTTCAATTCACAATAAAAAGTTAAAAAAAAAAAAAGTCATCCTGAATTCTCTTCTTCGTTTCCATGTCCAAGACCTTAACATTTCTATAATATTTCATAATTTCTCTCTAATCTCTTCTCTCCTTTGTCACTGCTAATGCCTGGTTGGTGAGACCATCATAATATTTCATTAAGTGTATTTTATAGTCTCTTTACTACAACAGTCTTCCTAAATTAAATCTAACTTCCATCCTACACAACTTTTACACTACTGGAAAATGATCTTTCTAAAACACAAATATGATTATGCTATTCTTCTACTCATAATTCTTCACAAAGTCCTTTGTTATATAGCTCCTGCCTAACTCTTTGGCTTTTCTACCATTTCCCAACATAGATCCTTAATTCTATACATATTTAATTACTTATAGTTGAACAAATGTTTTAGAGTTTCACACGTCCATGTACTTTTACATTACGATCATAAATGGATTTGTTATTAGATAATCAGGCTAGCATATATTTTGGAGTCCTGGTGTGGCATTGTGGGTTAATGCACTGGGCTGCAGGATCAGTTTGAACTTCAAGGTCTGCAGTTCAAGTTCACCAGCTACACCATAGAAACCCTATACAGGGTTACTATGAGTCGGAACCAACTCTATGTCACTTAACAACAACATCATATATTTAAAGCATCTGTGTTATTTTTAATTTTTAAAAGGAATTTCTGCTGTTTTAGACAATTCACACTTTAAGAGTATTTAACAGGTTAGCCTTATAATTCCAATTTAAAATATGTAATTGAGAAACCTAGGACTGGAACCAGAAACAGTCTCCTCAGATTTGTCCACGTGGAATGCCAAAACAATATTCTCTTGTATTTTTATAACAAAAGAGGGAGTCTGATCCATTAGGCAAGGCAAAGGCATAGAGAGAGAAAGGAATTAGGCATAAAAGGACCCATCAGTGTTCACCTGAGGCCACTCTAAGTGGATTGCTGTGCCATCCAGTAAGAAAGGTCACATTTGGCACTATATTCTGGATTCTAAATATGGTTGTGATTCACTACCATCTTGGTTCTCTAGTGGTGCTATACCAGAAATATCACAAATGGAAGGCTTTAACAAACATGAACTAGCCTCTCACACTTTGCTGGTGGTGGCTGTAGTGGTGGTGGTGTGTCGGGGAGTTGGTTCTGATTCATTAACAACGCTGTATAGGGTTGCTGAGGTTATAAATCTTTACGGGAACAGAAAGCCTCATCTATCTCTTGCTGATCGGCTAGTAGTTTGGGACGTCTGACCTTGATTAGCAGCCTGGGAGGTGGCTAGAATTCAGGGTGCCAGCTTGAGGGGAAGGCTTTCTCAGTCAGCTATGGGGGAAGGCCCTTGCCTCCTTTCAACATCTGTGGGCTCGACATCCCTTGGAAATTTCCATGTGTCTCGGCATCAGTGTTCCCCTGGATCTAGGAGCTTCTCATTACAGAAACTCCAGCTGCAAAGGATGCACCCCACTCCCAACTCTTTAATTGGTGGTAGTGAAGTCACTTTCTTTGCACACTTCTCTCTTTTTATCTCTTGTAATGTAAAAGTTGATACAGGTCACACCCCAGGGAAAATCCCTAACATTGGATCAAGACTGAGATCTGAGAAAGAGTGGTATATCCCACCCAATCTCCTTACAACTGATTGGCTGATCACATCATGGGGGAGGATTACATCATTGTTGTTGTTGTTGTCAGGTGCCATCGAGTCGGAACCAACTCACAGCCACCCCATGCACAGCAGAACGAAACAATGTCTGATCCTGGGCCAACCTCACTACCGCTGCCACACTTGACGCCATCAATGATGCTTTATATATTTACATCATTACAGAACCGTCAAACCACAGAGAATCATAGCCCAGCCAAAAGAAACATATTTATGAAGCCACAATTCAGTCCATGGCAACTAAAATTCGATTATATTTCTTTTGGCAATAGACTTGCGTGTTCTTCTGGATACTTGAAGGGATGCTGCTGCTACACATTTTTACCTTTTGCTCTTTGAGTTCTCTAGACAGAGAAACTTGGTTAGCCATCTTGAAAATTTAGAATGATTATGGCAAAATATGAAGTACTAGGAAAATTAGAGGTTAAGAAAATGAAATGGGATACATACAAGTAGAGATCCTAGGCATTAGTGAGCTGAAATGAACTGATATTGGTAATGTTGAATCAGAAAATCATGGTCTACTGTGCCAGGAATGACAAATGGAAGAGGAATGGTGTCACATTCATTGTTAAGAAGCACATTTTAAGATTTATCCTAAAACATAATGCTGTCAGTAATAGGGCAATATCCATACACCTACCAGGAAAACCGGAGTCCTGGTGTGGTGCTGTGGGTTAATACGCCAGACTTCAAAGCCATTTGAACTGCAAGGTCGGCAGTTCAAGCTCACCAGTAGCTCCTTGGAAACCCTATGTAGAGTGGCTCTGGGTTGGAAGCCACTCGGCGGCACTTAACAACAAACCAGGAAAACCAGCTAATATAACAATTATTCAAAGTTACATACCAACCACTAATGCCAGAGATAAGGAAATTGAAGATTTTTACCAACTTCTTCAGCCAGAAACTATAAAAACATGCAATCAAGATGCACTGATAATTATTGGTGACTAACTAGAATGCGAAAGTTGAAAACAAAGAAAGGTGATTCAATAGAATGTGGGAATTACTGAACAATATTAACATCATGTGCAAGTAAAATTTTGCTGAAGATCATTCAAAAATAGTTACAGCAGTAGACGAACAAGG